CCCAAGCTCACTACGCAGTTTTTCGGTGGCAACTCAAAGAAGCGTTTGGTTCACGCCTTAGCGTCACCCAGAAAGAAACAACCGGCAAAGGTTCAGAACCGCGGTGGAGAGAGCAACATACAGAGTATCCCTAAGGGTTCATCAAACCCGAAGACGGACTCAAAACCATAGCACATCGATTAAGGGATGAGAGTTCTTAGTTGGAATTGTCAAGGACTCGGGAACAGGTGGACAATAAGTTATCTCCGGGAAATTTGGAAGAAATATAGGCCAGAGTTTTTATTTCTTTCAGAAACTAAACAAGAATTTTCTTTTTTACAAAAATTTCAATTTCATTTTGGTTATAATAAGATGTACATGGTTGAACCGTGTGGTGCAAGTGGTGGACTTGCTTTATTTTATAATGATGTTTCTGATGTTTCTATTCTATTCTCGGATAATCGAATTATTGATATTGAGGCAAGTATTCTTGGTAAAAAGGTTTTCCTTTCTTTTATTTATGGAGATCCGGTCGTAAAAATGCGGGACAAGGTATGGGAAAGACTAACTCGGATAAGTCTCACAAGGATAGCGCCTTGGTTTATTATAGGAGATATGAATGAAATTACTTGTAATAACGAAAAGCAAGGGGGTAAGTTACGACAGGCGTCCACATTCGTGTCCTTTAATCTTATGATACGGACTGTGGATTTCTGGAATTTCCATACCTCGGGAATACAATGTCTTGGAGGGGCAGAAGAAATGTAAAAATTGTTAGATGCAGATTAGATCGGGCTCTTGCGAATGAGGACTGGCACGAGTTGTTCACACAATCATATGTTGAGTATCTGGGTATGATTGGCTCGGACCACAGGCCAATTGTCGCCACAATCGAAAATAAAATTCCACGGAAAAGATCTCAATTTCGTTTTGACAATAGATGGGTAGGACAGAACGGCTTAATGGACTCCATCTCCAAGGGTTGGAGCCTAGATCCTGGTGGTGGAGTGACCTTTACGGAAAAAATACAAAATTGCCGAAGAGAGATCTCTAAATGGAGGCAAACACTACAACCATATGGGAGGGACAAAATTGAGGAGCTGAAACAGGCACTGGAGGAAATTCAAAATGATGACACGCGCTCAGAGGAGGAATTGAGGGACATAGCAAAAAAACTGAAAGAAGCTTATCAAGATGAGGAGTTATACTGGCAACAAAAGAGTCGGACTCAATGGGCACAGGCAGAAGATAAGAATACCAAATATTACCATGCTCTAGTGAAGCAAAGACGAGCGCGAAACCGGATAATTGGATTGCACAATGCGGCGGGCACGTGGGTTACATCTGAAAAAGAGATCGAACAGGTGGCAGTCCATTATTTTGAAGAACTTTTTACAACGACTTCTCCAACGGAATTCGCTGACGCTTTGGGACAAATCACCACATTAATTTCGGAATCAGATAATGCAATGCTAACGGCACAAGCATCGGAGGAGGAAATACGAACGGCACTCTTTATGATAAACCCAGAAAAAGCTCCGGGACCTGATGGCATGACTGCATTGTTTTACCAGCGGTCGTGGCCAATTCTTAAAGCGGATCTCGTACGGCTAGTCAATGAATTCTTGGAGACAGGGTTATTCGAAGAGAAGCTGAACTTGACAAACATCTGTTTAATCCCAAAAACAGAGCGGCCTACACGAATGACAGAGTTGCGTCCTATAAGCCTCTGTAATGTAGCCTATAAAATCATATCTAAGGTGTTATGTCAAAGACTGAGGAAATTATTACCAGTACTAATATCAGAGACGCAATCAGCTTTTGTGGCAGGCCGCCTGATCTCTGACAATATTCTTATCGCTCAGGAGATGTTTCATGGTCTTCGAACCAACAAATCATGTACGAGTACGTACATGGCAATTAAGACGGATATGAGCAAAGCCTATGATCGGGTTGAATGGACCTTTATAGAGAATCTTTTGAGACAACTAGGCTTTGCGGAAAAATGGATTATGTGGATGATGCGGTGTATTACCTCTGTTAAGTACAGAGTTCTTTTGAACGGTCAACCAAAGGGTCAAATAATTCCACAACGAGGGCTGCGACAAGGGGACCCTTTATCCCCATATTTGTTTATTTTATGTACAGAAGTTCTTATAGCCAATATCAAAAAAGCTGAAAAGGATAAGCTCTTAACCGGCCTAAAGATTGCAAGGGCAAGTCCCCCAGTATCACACTTACTCTTTGCGGATGATAGTCTATTCTTTTGTAAAGCAAACAAAGAGGAATGCCAGACGCTTGGCCATACTGAAACAGTATGAAAGTATCTCGGGCCAACAAATTAATTTCGAAAAATCTTTGATACAATTCGGTCACATGATTCCAAAAGTCATTAGGGATGAAATGAGGCAGATTACAAGAATTTCCAGAGACGGAGGGACGGGATCCTATCTTGGAATACCGGAGAGTTTAGATGGAGCCAAAACTAAGATATTTAATTTTGTAGTGGACAGACAAAATGAACGGGTCAATAGCTGGACATCGTGTCTGTTATCTAAAGGGGGTAAAGAAGTTCTAATCAAATCAATGGCATCAGCATGCCAACTTATGTTATGTCTTGTTTCCGATTGCCCAAAGCCACAACAAAAAAGCTAACCAGTACAGTGGCCAGATACTGGTGGAGTTCAGATGGATGTAATCGTGGTATGTACTGGATAGCGTGGAAAAAGATGTGTTCGGACAAATCGGAAGGTGGAATGGGTTTTCGTGATGTGGAGGACTTTAATACAGCTCTTTTGGCAAAACAGCTTTGGAGGCTCATCGATAGACCAACCTCCTTGTTTGCCCGGGTCTTCAAAGGACGATATTTTCGGAATGCAAGTCCTTTGGACCCAGTGAAATCCTACTCACCATCGTATGGATGGCGAAGTATTCTTTCGGCTCGCGCTCTGGTTAATAAAGGACTAATTAAAAGAGTGGGTTCAGGATGTTCAATCTCTGTCTGGAACGATCCCTGGATACCTTCCTCTCGCCCGAGACCAGCCACTTGTAAGGGTTTTAACTATTACCCAAACCTTATGGTTAATCATCTGATTGATCCAGAGACAAAATCATGGAATATAGGATTGCTGTCGGCGATCATTGATCCGGGGGATGTAGAGATTATTCGGGGAATTCCTACTAGTAGATCGTACAAGCCAGATCAGCTTGGGTGGCATTTTACAAAAACCGGACGATACACGGTTAAATCTAGTTATCAGACGGAAAGGAATTTCCTCGTGGAAGCCAAGTTGGACCCCTATGGTCCAGACATCACAGCACTACAAGCATATGTTTGGAAATTAAATTGTGCACCCAAATTACGGCATTTTATCTGGCAAGCTCTATTCGGCTGTCTCTCAGTACCAGATAGATTACGCACTCGGGGAATACAATGTGACACGCAATGTGCGCGGTGCGGAGCAGAGAAAGAAACAATTAATCATGTCTTGTTTGAATGTCCCCCGGCCTTACAGACCTGGGCATTATCCCAAGTATCGTCGCCCCCTGGGATTTTCCCGGGACCATCGGTTTTTGCAAATTTTGATTATCTTTTCTGGCGAACCCCACAAGGGACGGAAAATACTCAATATCCTTGGATTGTTTGGTATATATGGAAGGCGCAGAATGAAAAGGTATACTCGAACAAAGATATTGATCCACAAGTCACGTTAAAAATAGCGGAAACAGAGGCGAATCTGTGGGAAGAGGCGCAGAAGGAGACACGCGAGCAGCCCACCTCGATTTCTTCTAATGTTCAATGCTTACAGCACCCGGTTTATGGGGGCTGGTGGTGTTACATAGATGGTTCTTGGAAAGATACGGATTCATACGCAGGAGTAGGATGGTATTATTTTAAAGAAGGAATCACAGACACAATAATGGGAGCACAGAACGTAAGACGGAGTCTTTCGGCTCTGCACGCAGAGTTAGAGGCCCTCATATGGGCGATGCACTGCATGATCCTCAACCAGAAAAAGGAAGTAGCTTTTGCAACAGACTGCTCAGAAATGGTGAAGATGGTGGCTACACCCGATGAATGGCCAGCTTTCACCCAACATTTGGAGGAGATTGGACGAATGAAGGATAGCTTCACTTTCTTCCTCCTAACACATATCTCGCGCACAAAGAATTCGAGGGCAGACAATCTGGCACGGAGTGCCCGGACCTACCCCCAAGAACTCATTTATGTAAACTTTATTCCTCCGAGTTGGTTAGCTGACCCGTTATAGGTAGTTAACGCTGTTGACAAAAAAAAATATGAAATAATAATTCATATACATTAGGATTACCAATATCTAATTTATGATTGCAAATTTGAAACCAAAATTATTTTTTTATTAATTTTAAAATTAAATTTTATGATATAATTACATAGTAAACTTCATAAGCTTAGTCTAGTAGACTTCTAACAGTTTTTAGTAGACTTTTTCAGGGTTTAAATCGTAATAATTAAAGACATCCGTTTTTATTTGGTCATATAGGATTATATTGTCTTTTCACTACCCCTTTGGATTATTTTTGTCAAATATTTTATTAGAGGTCTATTTTTGTATTCAAAATCAATTTTTAGGTCATTTTTAGCAAAAAAAAACCCCATTAATCAATCAAAGAGAGCTATTTTTAGCAGGAATTGGGACAAAGATGAGCATCGTGCTCAGGCCTTCAAACCAAACACAAGCATTGAGTCACAAAACCATCATTACTACTCCAACTTGGGAACCTAATTTTACAAACATTGAGAATTCAAAACATATACCTATAGTTCCTGTGCTCGCAGTGACGAGGGGTATGTTGTTTTTGTGTTACTAAAACTTCATCTTTTGCAGATTCATTTCATTTTTCATTTATTTCCTTAGGAGAATGATTGTGTCAACGTGAACATTGAGGATTATACTACGAAAACAGAAAACATGACTTGATAAACACTGGAAAAAAATCAGAACTTTAAATTACGAACACTGAGAAAATCCAAACAAAACTGTGATTTAAAAAGGGGAACATTGAGGATTATTAAACTATAAAGTTGCTAAACACAACATTCATCTATTGTCTCCAAATAACACAAACATTCATTAACAATATTCTGGAATTTTCATAGAGTAAGAAAACAGAGATTGTGAAAGATGATATTATATAGGTCATATACACTTCAACGTCTGAGTGATCTTCGGGATTTAAAGAACCTCTCTCTGATTGAGACTAACTCCTTTAGGGCTTCACTCGTTGCGTAACGGTTTGTTGGGGATTCTTCACCACACCTAAGTCCAACATTCAAAACCAATGTCAAGCACTCAGCAACAGTGAAACCGTCTCTGAGATTGCTGTTAATGATGGATTTGTCTGCAATGTCCAAAACTCTCTCTGGCAACGCCGATTTGGTGTAGCTGTGTAAGGTGAAGTTTCCTCCAAATAACTCATTGGAAGGTCGTTTTCCAGTGAACATCTCCAAAAGTAGAACCCCAAAGCTATACACATCACCATGTATTGATGGTTGCCCTCCCATCCCATATTCTGCACACCATAATTCACAAAAAACAAGAATTGGAGTTGTAAATATACACTAAGTTTCTTCATTTAAACTTTTGCGTATGTGTGATATTTTTACCTGGTGCAGCATAACCGATGGTCCCTCTAACACCAGCTGAGCTTAGTTGGTTGAAGAAAGACTCCTGGTCAAATTTGAGAAGAAGACGAGCCAGACCAAAGTCGCTAACATGAGCAATGAAATCATCGTCTAGAAGGACGTTACTTGGCTTGAGATCGCAATGAGCTATTGGTGTATGACAACGAACATGAAGATACTCTAAAACAGAAGCCACATCTACGGCAATATTGAGCCTTTCAAGAAGTGTCAAGGTTCTTGAAGGCCTACGAATCTTTTCGACTTCCTCCGGGTGCAACCACATATCCAAGCTTCCATTTGGCATGAACTCATATATGAGAGCTCTAAATTCGTTTCCTTGGAAATCAATGCTCGAACAAGCTGTCAACAGTTTAACAAGATTACGATGCCTTACGTCCTTGAGAGATTCACATTCCGCCATAAAACTCTTCATCGCTCCACGTCTCTGCATGTTTAGAACTTTTACCGCAACAACCTTGTTCTCATTTGGAAGCAATGCCTTAAACACAGTACCAAAACTGCCTGACCCAACCATATTGCTTAAAGAGAAGAAATTTGTTGCATTTCGAAGATCTCCATAACTTATCTTCTCATGGAAGACCTCCAAGGTAGATTGAGTTGGATTATTGGTCTCCTTGTTCTTCTTTCTTTTTCTGAACCAAATCAAAGAAACTGAAGCCATGAACAGCAGAAAAAGCAAAGATATGCCTATGCTAACTCCAATTGCAACTTTCTTCATATGAGAGGAATTCTGCTTTGTCTTCACTGGTGGTTCTTGCGAGAGGCATGGATTTAGTTGAAATTCTGTTATGCCTCCACATAGATCATTGTTTCCAAATATGGAAACTATACTAGTATTCTGAAATATTCCTTTTGTAGGCACCCACCCCTCGAATCTGTTAACTGATAGATTGAGATACTTCAACTTGGTAAAGTTTGCAAGATACTCAGGTATAACTCCAGTGAGATTATTGTTCGACAAATCAACTTCTTTAACACCCACCAACCCTTTTATATCTGGAATATCTCCATCAAAATGATTTCCTTGCAAATAAAGATTTTCCATTGTGAGACAGTTTCCAATGGTTTTTGGGAGTTTCCCTGATAATCTATTATCCGCAAGAGACAGTGTACCAAGATTTTCTAGTTGTCCAATATCTTCTGGCAGAGAGCCGAACAAGGAATTCCCAGACATGTCTAGGAGAACAAGGCGTTGGATTTGCATAATTTCCAGAGGTATACTCCCATTCAGCTTATTAGAATCAATACGTAAATGAAGCAAATTGCTACATTTACCAAGACTTGGAGGAACAATTCCTTGAAAACTATTGTTAGACAAATTGAGTGTTTCTAACATACTCATGTTGCCTATAAAAGCTGGTATCTCTCCTGATAATGTATTTGAATGTAGACTTAAAACCCTCAAGTTTAAAAGCTTCCCAAGAGAGGTTGGAAGTGGTCCAATCAACATATTTTGATCCAACAAAATTTTTTGTAGACTTATGAGATTCCCAATGTCATGAGGAATTCTTCCAGAAATGAGGGTTCCTCCAAGGTCAAAAGTAATGAGTTTGGTGGACAGATTGGCAATGGAAACAGGCAAGTCACCCCCAAGCCTATTTTGACCAATCTCTAATACCTCTAGTTTGGTGCAGTTTGTCAAAGAAGTGAGGAATTCAAAATCTCCATAAGAGTTACTTCCCAAAGAATTGGTATAAAGAAGTAACCGTTCTAAATTTGGTGCTTTTCCAAAGGTAGGAATACTTCCAGTCAGATGGTTCTCATTCATTCCCAATCTTTCAAGAGTCGAGATATTGGAAAGTGTTACTGGAATGGATCCTGTGAGATAATTCCCTCCCACATTTAATGATACAAGATTTGGTAGCAGAATACCAAAATCCAGTCTCAGATGACCCAAGAAATTATTATAAGCGAGACCTAAAAGCTCAAGTGAAGACAAATTGTAGATAGCAGGAGGAAAAACACCTGAGAAATTGTTAGCAAATAATTGAAGACTCTGTATTTGAGTCAGTTTAGCTACCTCACTTGGAATTTCTCCTTCCAGATTGTTATTTGAGAATGCAAGTTTTTGTAGAGATGTCAAGTTTCCTAGAGATGCAGGGAGCTTCCCTTGCAGATTGTTTTCATAAAAAATTAAATGAACTAGCTTCGTCAATGACCCTAGTTCCCAAGAAACACCACCTCCAAGATGATTTGAATCTAAACGAAGCTTCACCAATCTAGAGCAGTTGTACAAACCAATTGGAATCTGTCCTCCCAAAATATTTAAGCCCATATCCAAGTATTCAAGTCTAAACAAGTTTCCCACCTCTTGAGGAATAGTACCACCAAAAGAGTTATCATAGAGATCAAGTGATATGAGAAACGAAAGATTACCAATTGATGGTGATATCACTCCCCCTAATGACAATTTTCCCAGGTGCAGATGAGTAACTCTCTTGTGTTTGCCGCCACAGGTAACCCCCTTCCAATTACAGAGTGGGAGTGAGTGATTCCATGAGGACAAGACAACTCTTTTGTCTTCAGATACTTGAGACTTGAATTCCAGCAACGCTTGCCTATCAGTTTCATCGGTAAAACCATGTGCTTCCAGTAGCATGAGAGAAATAAGAGAAAACAAAAGAAACAGTTTCATGCTTTTAAAAGTTTGTCTTTTTTTTTTTATAAAAAAAATGTCTTCTTGGTTTAAAGCTATTTGTGCTTATCATTGCAGGAAACTGAATTATAAGGGCGAAGCAATTGCTTTCACATTGTGATGATAATAAATTGGCTCACAACCACATAGAATGCGCCATGTGTCTCATGCCATCGAAGGCAAGAAGTCAACAGTGTTCAAAACATGTCACTAGTTTTTAAGACTCTACTACATACCACTCACTTATGTCACTTTTTTTTCAAAAAAATTTAAACACATCTTGGGTTTTTACAGAAATCCACCAATTAACGACAAGTGTGTTATCATTGCATTGCTAGAATAATCTAGTCGCAACAAAATCATAAAATTTCAAAGAGCATTGAACAGTTTCATACTCGAACAACACTTTCTATCAGTCTCATTGGTACGAACCAATTGCTTCAAGGAACATGAGAGCATTGAAAACATGCAAAAGAAACAGTCTCATGCTTCTCAAATTTTTTAATTTTTTTTGTTGGTGAAAAGCTTATGGTGCTTCTCATATTTTCAAGGAAAGTGAATACGAGACGAAGCAATTGCAAAATGCCTTTAACTTGTGGGGATAATGCAACTTGAAGCAAAGTAGGATAATAATAAATTGAATGTAATGACCGACAAAAGTGCTAGACTTTTCCAACATGGCAACATCTAAGTCAAGTAGTACTGCCTAAAAGGAAAGAAATAAAATAAAAAATTCACGAGCAGTCATGACTTTTCACCATGTGGTGGTGGACTACAGGCAAAACTGCCACTGACAAAGACTAAACAAATTGGTTGTAACTACAGACAGCTTGTGGTAAAAATGCAACTTGAAGCAAAATAGGCATAATAATAAATTGGCTGTAATCACAGACAAAACTGCCAGACTTTTCCAAATTTAAGTCAAAATAGTCGACCGTCTAAATAAACAAAACAAAAACATTCCACTACTCTTAATGACTTTTCTACTAACATGATCTGGTGGATGGACTATGTGTTCCATACGATGGGTCTGGAATCTAGACAATTATCTTAAGAACACAAGCATGGTACATTACGATCACACAATAGTCATCTTTTGTATGAAACAACAAACATCAATTAGCTGATTTGATAACTAAACCACTACCAAGGGCGATATTCTCAACGTTCTCAGGCAAGTTTGGAGTTTCAAGACCACCTCCATCTTAAGAGGGCATATTAAAGAATCTAATCATATACCTGATAACTTATGTTACGGTCCTATTTATGTTAAGTGTATATTCTTATTAACTACTAGAGTAATTAATGCCTAGCTATTACCTCTTGTATAAATTCCTCCTACTGAATTGTATAATCTAATCAATCAATATACAGTTCACACTTCTATATTCTATAGACATCATGTGGCTGCTAGAGGTGTCAAATTGGGTTCTGATCCGTGGGTTCGGCCCAAGTAGAACCGCAACGGTGTGGATTTAGGCTCTATAAAATTTGTCCAAATAAAAAGCGGGCTTCGCGGTCTAAACCTAGGTGAAAATTGGGCTTTTGCGGGTCGGGTCAGAGCGAATCTGCGGATTTGCGGTCCAACCCGCAGAATTTGATGTTTTCTTGTAAAGCTTGAAAAGTAAAGTATTTTGTCATCTTTGATTGGTGGATTTCGAAGTAATAGTTTCATGGAGTGAATCGAAGCCTAGTGGAGTCACAATTCAGCTATTGGGCTTGGTGATAGTTTCATTTCAATGAAATCAAGGAATCATCAAACTGATATGTGTTTTATATTCGATTCAGATTCTATGATTGGATTTTTGAATTTGGAAGAAAATATAGTCGTTGTCTTCCCAGCTAAAAACTAGTATTATTTTATAGAGTTTTAATTTCAGTTTAATGTCATAAATTTGCCTTTTTTTTTTGGTTTTGCTCATCGACTATATCACATACGTGGTTTTTATTTTGTCCGCAGCGATGCAAAAATAATTTAAAATTTGCATAAATCTTGAATTGACAATAAATAGTTTGCTTGGGAATTGTTTGTACGCTGGACTAACAATTAATCTTTGTTAATCTATTTTTTTGTTTTTGATTTTATATGTAAATGTCTTGTTGCTTGTATTTTGATGGTTATCTAGTTTAAATGACCAGTTTTGATGTGTATCATTATTTGTAATTCATTTATTTGCTTTTCAAAACTAAATGTCTATTCTTACTGTTAAATTGATTTTTCAAATCTTATGGCATCCTAGGACTAGCAGTTTTGTATAAGAGGTTTATCGAATTCGTTTATTTGTTCATCGAATTTACTTAGACAATAATTTTCTTTAGTCTTGTTTCTTATGCATATTGTGATTCAGTTACGAGCAAAACTTTATTCTCCTCTTGCAGATTTTCTGGTTCTATAAGTCTAAATGTCATAAGAACTTTAAAATGAAGAATAAAATATGAACCCGCGGGCCAGCCCGCAAAACCGTAGAGTATAGGTGGATCGGGCTTGGACACATCAATTTGGGACCGTAGCTTATGATGGGCCAGCCCGCCAAACCCGAAAAAAAATTAAACCCACATCGGGTCAGGCTACTTGGACACGGATTGGCCCGTTTGACATCTCTAGTGGCTGCAGGACTACAGAAAAAACTACTACAGACAAAGACCAAAAAATGGCTGTAACCACAGACAAAACAGCCAGACTTTACCGAAATCTAAGTCAAGTGATAAAAGAAAAACATTTCACTAGTGACTAGTCTTCATGAATTTTATAAAGACATGTGGTGGCTGGACTGTGTGTCCCATATGATGGGTTTGGAATTTAGACAATTAGCTACACAACCATGGAACATTACGATCACACAACAGTCATCTTTTGTTTGAAAGCACACAATATTAGTTTATGATATTCTGCAACCCCTGTGACAAGCCCTTTCGTTGCTTGCAAACTTTGTTGAGGAAACCGAAAACACTTTGTAATATCTACTTTGATTTTATATTTCTTTATTTGTTTTCTATTCAGGATGGTCGCCTCACTGGTAGATGATAATGAAAAAGTTAGAAATGTAATGTAGCTGAAGCTTCTAAAGACAGAAGTATAAAGTCTTTGATTTTAAAAATATGAGAAGAACTAAAATAAATGCAAGATTATTCTTTTAGTATGAGAATTCTAAATATATATAATCAAGTTTTTTTTATAAATTCATTGAGATCTCTTTAAATCTACCGAAAATAAGTAATAAAAAAACTTAATTTTATTAATCAGTCGAAATTACAATCTTAGACCTAAAATGCTTATCTCATTATATAAAACAAAATTTCTCAACGTAAATATAACACATAAAATAATTATAACACACCACATTGTAATATACATTATCGTTATTTTTTAATTATGACATGTGTCAATATAAAAATATAAATATTTCTATTTTTATTTATTTTAGGAAAATAAATAAATTATCTATAGTTGTCCATTAATAAAATAGATAAGTTAATAAAGATTTCAAAAAAAAAGAAACAATAGTGAAAATTATGTATTTGGGATCCTATCATTAATTTAGAGTGATTCTTTATAATGTTTAGGATAAGAAAAATCATTTTTAAATTACAAATTATAAAATAATATTAATTTAGAATCAACTTATATGGATTATAATTATACAGTTTATCAATTTTAAAATCTGAATATATTATTTTTTGCTTATCATGCAATGTATAACCTAGATTATAATATATTATTGATAATTCACTAGAAAATCCTAAAACAATAAAAGAAAATTATCTAAATAATAAAAAATATTTAGCGTATTTCTAAATATTTTGCTGCATCAGTCTCTCTGACAATGAAAAGAACGAATCTTAGCTGTGGTCTTTGATTCCAAAATTTGATACGCTACAAGCCTACAAACATTCAATATTTTTGTGTCTTTTTTTTCTAACTTTCCATTTATAATATTCTTTGTATAGAAGAATATTGTTTTGCACCTTCACTTTAATCAAACACGTTACAAGAAATGCAATAATTGTCTTGAACGTGCTCCTTTAGATAACGAAGAGAAATCTCCACTCTCTTTGTTTTCTTGTAATTAAACATGAATCTCTGCACCTCTCAAAAGCACACCGTCTTTCATTGAATTGATGTGGCTGCATATTTTGATATTTTTAATCTGAACCACGCCTTGAGTACAATACACGGTATACACGGTAGCATCTCTTGATAGTTTATATTTGATGAACTGGTGATCATAATTAAGGAATGAATGATGAGAAATGTGCTATTTCTCTCCATTCCTAAAATTTTTTACCATTTAAAAGGAATAACTATTACATGTCATTCCTCTTCATTCCTGTTTTAAAATGGAATGATAAAACAAATATATTCCCTATCAAATTTATTAAGGAACGAGAGGAATGCAAAAAAAAGAAATTAATAAAAGTATATTATATATATTATTTCATTCCTTCTCTACAAATTTATGGATACCATTTACTGTGACAATTTATTACATTTCTTCTCTACATTTATTCCTTCTAATTTGTTCTTATTGATCTGCTCAAAGTTTAATCCCTAAGCTACTCTACAAGAGCACAAATGTGCAGTTGTAGTATGTAGGAGTCGAACCACAGAGACGAAAGATCACTCAATAAACCTTATAGAGATCGAATTACGCTAAGCAGAAATATTGTAAATAAATAGCAATGCAACAGAATTAGACTAAGCAGCAATAAAAACGGTTTGTAAGATTCAGATGGATGGAGATTAGGCTTAGGGCGTTTCTCAGGAGATCAATGAATGCTGAACAATCGATTAATCAGGGTTCAGGTTTAAGCACGGTTCTTGAACTCGAATCACAGAATTATAATTAACCAACTTCCGTTGTGAGAATTATCTAAGTTAAAATCCTAGAATTCCAAATTCCTTTGCAAACCCTAAAGATTTAAACCAGCTTTAATGCACAAGTTCGATATGTTCACAAAGTATCTAAACCAAATTCCTTTGCGAATAGCTACTTTGCTCACCCTAGGTTCTTTCCAGTTATTCAATTACACTTCCGTGTCAATCAATTAACCTAAGATCTAAGTTCTAGGAGGCCATCCAGAATTAGCTTTAAGAACAACCTATGGTGAAGAACTAAATAGATTATGAACCCTAACTAAATCAATTAATCAAACATCCAGAGAAAACCTTTATGAGAACCCTAAACCTAACAAGCAAACTACTCAGACATGGAGATTGAAGCAATAATCATGAATGAATAGATTGCAGAAAAGAAATAATAGATAAATAAACAGGGGTTCGAAATCTTCTCTCTCCGGAACAGAGTTTCAGACTTGTCTCCCCAAAAACTCTCAAAAACAAAAGTTCTCTCTAAGAAAATCTAAAGTATCGATATAAGGTGCTAAAAACCCTATTTATAACTTAAAAACACGTTTTGGGCTTTTTAGGGAATATTTAGAAACTTCTGGGCCCAATTCCTTCTTCAAATAGGAGACAAAATCACGTTTTCCTTATTTCTGCAACAAGTGTCGAGCGTCACTCTCCATGGTGTCGAGCGACACTAAAGCACAAAATCCATCCTTGACGAATTTGATCCTGATTTAGCTCCAAAGTGCTCCAAAGTCTCCAGTTAAGCTCCAAACGTACCTATGACCTGAAAAGACTCCAAAAGATTCGAAAGACACTAAAAAGACTCTATAAATAAGACATATACCATGGTCAAAAACCATAAAAACCATGATATATCACTTATCCTTCTTTTTTATTCTTTTTCCCTATCATTCCTATTGTTCCTGAAATGGTCACCAGTTAGAGCCGAAGTTTTCGTTATCTTCATCAGAAAATTCGATCACCAAAGATTTCTATAAACTTTTTGCATAGATCTTCAAAGAGAGTAAACAGATATGCATTCTTGATACAATACAGACCTTCGAGAAACATAGAGTATGGACGCAGAATGATGTACTGTCTTTGGTATCAATTGATGTAGTAGAAGTTTTAATAGATAGAATAATAATCCGTTGATTTTAAGAATACTCAAAAAACTAGGATAACCACAAAATTGGTTTAATCTGAAAAACTTCTTGAATTATGGACACTCAAAAACTGGAGAAGAATAAAAAAAAATGATGTAAAATATGTTCGATCATGTAACATTGTAGCCGATTTTTTCACATCCACTACTAATACAACTATGAAAGAGGTTTACCTGGATTAAATAAGTATTAGTAGAGTATTTAAGAAGGGGAAGCTCTTATTATGATAAACACTCAAAGATTACAAAGGCTCTCAACCTCTCTCAAACTCAACTCATTCCATAATTCACTTACTTAGCTTGGTCCTGAATCCTTCCGAGCCTTCCTATTTATAGTACTAGGCCTAAAGAATATCACATGGAGTTTTTCATGAGATATTTTACCAGTTATTCAACACACTCATTATTACAACAACTTATTTAACACATTAACATTACAACAACTTATTAAACTCTTATAATACTACTTATTGATATCAGGTTCACGTGTATGCGTGTTTGCGTTCAAAGAAATTTTTAGCAACTAAGGTTAGAACCAGGGTCCACACCAAGCTGTCCACAGTAGTCTCTATAGTACATAATCCTTTCATTGACCGCACCTGTATTCCCACCATCACATTCCATTCCATTGATGGCTCTTATGGTGGCTCCAAATCCTTGGTTCAGTACTGGCCGTACGCTATTCATCCAAAACCGCAAACTTGTTTTGAAACCTACAGTTGGGTTGCTACCCACAACCTCGGGCTGACGTCGAAGGTGGAGATTGAGACTCTGACCATGACCGAAGTAGCCTTTGCCCGGTTCACATGGTATTTGCTCAACGTTTTGGTCGCAGTCGTCACGGGACCTTCTGTTTCTTTTTCTCTTTTTGGCTAACGACGTTCCGTTTATTATTGCTCCTATGTAGCAGAAGTCTATACGAAATAGAGATGCACATGAAACAAAGTGATTTATAATCGGCTCAATTAATAGAAATCAAGCTAAATGTTCAGTTTTTACAGTTTTAATCTCATATGTCCTAAACCAAGATTGTTTTGAATACTGCACCAGTGAATCATATAACATCCATTTCCAAATTTCGAATAATGCAAACGCTTAGAAATATCCAATCCTTAGGTTTCGAAAAATAATCTACTCATTCATATATTTGTAGTTAACTGAAGGTTAGAATCGGTCATGGCTAGAGTATATATACATACAAAAACTAATAATTTATTTTTATAATATTTAAAAAAAAAGTAGAGAAGAAAGAGAGAATTCTTACGTCCAGTCTCGTGAGTGAAATGAGCAAACATGGTAGCAATTTCACGTCTAGTAACGGAATTTGCAAAGTTGGAAAAAGTATTAGCGGCGTTAATGAAAGAGTCACGGGTGTAGAATCTTTTTCCGGCACAGCCACTAGCGGTTTTTTTGATAATGTTGTTAAAGAATTGTTGTGTCACAATGCTACTAACCGATCCACCACCGGTTGGGGTTTCAGTGCCTCCACAAGGACCTGATCGGCATCCAGCACCGCAGTAAGTATCGCCGGTACCGCAGTAACCGAACTGACTGCAACAGTAGTTTGGAGCGCAACCGCAGTTTTGAGACTTGACGGTTACAAAGTATAAACCTAGGAGGCAAAGGAAAAGGATTAAGGAAGTTTTTGTGAAAGCCATGTTTTGGTTATTGTCTGTGGTTGAGAAGGAAGAAGCTGTGAGGTATATATAGGGATATATGTTGGGTAGTTCGGTGATTTTCTTTTCGGAGTGAGTGGAAGTAAAATGTTTTTCTCTTTAATTTAAGAAAAATGAGGGAGAGTTAAGACGATGATGGATCGGCGAAGAAGACGTTGTGGAAAACAAGGGTCTTTGTAATCTCCAAGTCAACGTCAACTCATGTAAATTTTTTGGTTTAGACCATGAATTTTTGAATAGTTTTTGGCTTTTCGTTTTTGGTTTTTGGATTTAAGTTTTTGAGTTTTTGATATAGATTTAGTTTTATAAAATATTGAAGCTTTTGGTTTTATATAATTTTATCTCTAATTATTTAGGAAAACTACATTTCCAAAAGGGTGACTTAAATATATAGATAGTTGACTAGCTAATTAGCTATAAATAATTATAAAACAATCAATATTCAAAACTGCCCCCACCCACAAGATGCGTATGCAAAAGAGTGTGGAGATAAGATCGCATTAAATGTGCTGTTTTTAAATAAGGTAACAATTCTACTGGTAAGTGGTAACTTAGCAACACTATTATCCAACCTGGTAATGCTTCTTTCTTGTTTCATCTCCTCTTGTTCAATCCCACTTCTTCCGTGTCTTCCTTTCTGAGACCAACGCTTTTCTCTGATTCGTCTTTCGTGTTGTTTGTTGTGAGGCTGCTGCTTCTTCATCTCCAGCTTCTTGTTTCTGACTATACTTCTTTAAATACTAGGGAAATAGTTTCTGGAATGTTGCACTGCCACAACAATTTGTAAGAAAAAGAAAAACATGTATTAATGTATAGCAATATTTGCTCTCTAATCAAATTCTGAGATTATCCTAAACAGTTTTTTGGTGGGAATGAAACTTACTTTATACAGTTGAAAGCAAGAGATAACTTCGCCAACCGTTGGTTTATGGCCACGCTTCCAGTTGTGGGACTGTTATCCATCTGTGTACCACAAGATTTTAATGCAGAAACTAAAATTAACTAACGTAAGAATTGAATGGAGCTCTAAAGCCAAATAATATACTGAGGGGTTCTTCAAGAAGCAAAGGTCTAGAGACAACAATGAGCTTACCATAAAATGTGAGAAGTCTTATAAGTATGCTGCGTTTAGGAAAGCGAAATGGTCAAATGGATCGATTACTCTCTTTATAATAATAACTTGAAAACATTTTGAATTTACATCAGATGACATACCTTGACACCGACCACATTGGATTCCGGCTTTCTAGATGAATTGTAATTGCCAACAATGGTAACACTAATCAGATAACAGACAAGTTCATTGAAATTAATATACGAAAAAAAAGAGTTAAAAAACAGAATGTGCGTACAATCACTCATAGACAAGCAGAATTTCTTTTGTGTCACAAATCGACCGTTTGGTGTTGTCATTCTGCAGCGACAAAAAGTTTAGTCCATTATTTCCGAGTGGCTTGTAACTTTGTAAGGATATTCAGAAAGGAAGACCCATAGTAGAATCCACCTATATATATCCAAGAGCATTCAAAATACTAGAATTAGAATCTTTTTTGGAATGCAGAAGAACACGTACACTTTACAATTACATGAAAGTAAACAAAGAAGATTTCGAACCTGCAAAAGGAGTATCATCACTGCCTTCCAATACATAATCTGTAAGATGAAGAGACACTAGAAATTGTCTTTTATGGTTTTAGAAATAACAATTCTTCGTCATTTATATTATGGTTTTAAGCTATAGACCTCTGATTTGCTTTTTCTTTTTCTTTTTGGGAGCGCAGAAAGCAAACGCCTTATCCTCATCCGTTTAATAACGGAAACGCAGAGTTCCAATAACTTCATTTGTTTGCTTCTCTTTTCTACATCATCTTCACCTCCAGATTCTTCTCCTTCTTCAGTTTCATTGTTTGTCTGTATGTTTATATTCATACATTCTTTTTCTTCAGTTTTGTTTTCGTCAAGAATATGATGATGAGTATCCAAAATTTGTACACCGCAGGCTCTCACTTCCCAGGTCTTATCATGGACTATGAATTCAAACACAAGCTCGCTGAAAGTGTCTTCATTGGCTTCAGGGCAAACCTGGGTTCGGAAGGAAGAATCTTTACATATATACTGATGCTCTATATCTCCAAGTTTAGCTGGTATAGGGAGGTGGATTGATTTGTATCGAACAGTGAAGCCATCCTGTTTACCCTTGACATGACAAGACACATGCCTCAATGAAGTTTCATCCTCTTCATCTTCTTCAGTGTGATCCTCAAGATTACAATTCCTAGTTGACAGTATGATACAAGCTCTAAATGTGAAGAGTGATGGAAGAGGCCTTGGACTCAAGTTGATAGTTAGGGAATGTGAAGTAGCTTGGTGAGTGAGGTGTGCAGGAACTTCTACACCTGGTAAGAACGCATATTGGCAAGCTGATCTCTGGATGAGCTCTCTCGCTTCTTGATTCAGGTTGATGCAGTTAGCAAAATTTAGACAAATCTTTGAATTTGGAAAAGAGTAGTCTATTCTCTTCAAGGATTCACATTATTCTGCATCTAGAGATAAACAAGAATCTGGAAGCTGTGGAAGTGCTACGAGCTTTCTACATTCTCTGATGTCAAGCTTACTTAGTTCGGAGAGACGTCTGACACAATTTGGAATAGTCTTGAGACCATTACCTCGGAAACATAATGATATTGGAGATGTAAGAGCCTTCTCAGGCAGACATATTGGTAAAATGTAGTGAACGTTAAAGTCTGTTCGTAATGTCCAACTCGGCTTCGAGTGACCCCAATTGATCACTGCTTCAAAAAATCCAACATCATTAGCATAAGTACCTTCATCATCCTCACCATCACCGTCAACTGCATCCTTACCACCTTCGCCATCCTCTCCACCATCATCAATCTCATTATTTTTACCATTATCATCATCCCCATGAATGCCATATTTACTCAGACCAAGAAATTGAAGATTCTCTAACTTAGAAATTTTTGGAGATATATTGTTCAGCTTCTTGCATCCATACATAATAAGTTTACACAGACGGAAAAGATTCTCAATCCTTGGAGGAACTTCCTTTATCCTTGTCTCGCTCAACTCCAACCCTACAATGGTGTCAGGAACATATGGAAACTCCTTGAGATTTCTACACCCTGACATATCCAAACTATAAAGAGAATACCAAGAGCTGATCGATGATGGGACTTCCTCTATTGCAGTATCTCTCAGATCAAGTTTCTTAATCCTTCTTGAAATATCTGGAAACATTTTCAAACGTGTACATCCTCCAAGAGAAATTTCAGAGAGAGATTTCATGTTGATATTGGTAGGAAACGTTTCAATGTTTTTGCATCCACTCATACTGGCAACTTGTGAAGGTTCCCAAAAGAGGAGGGGAGTGTCACCAATTTTTCGCAACCACTGAGTTCCAATTCCTCGAGATTGAATAGCCTACCTATAGAAGAAGGGAGTTTCTCCAAACTTGTGCAATAGTAAAGATCCAAATACTGGATACTCATGGCATTGCCAATAGAAAATGGGAGCTCTTTCAAGAGGCAGCAACCGCCAAGGTTCAATCTCTTAAGCTTAGTAGCATTTCCAATAGAGTTAGTGAGCTCTAGAAAACCTGAGCAGCCACTGAGATCTAACACCTCGAGATTAGTTGCTTTTGAGAGATCTGGGATCTCTTTGAGATCCTCGGAGTGACTTAACTTCATCGCTTGAGACATTGGAGCGGCTATACAAAAAAAAAGGACATGTTTGGTATGTTTTAGAGAAATGACTAATCACGCTTTATGGGCAACACAAATACAACAAAATGCTTTACTACTTACTTTAATTCCTTCCCAAAGCTTCTCAAGTTTACTTTGGCACATGATAAGTTCAACAAGAAACTCGCTAGAGAACTCAGAAGGCCAAAATCTCATTGGAAAATAATCCCAGTTTAAAAATCTGAGTTTGTTGGGTAGACAGTTGAGGCCTTCGGGTAAGCATACACTACTAGAGTAGACAGTTAACAACTGGAGATTATTCATCCCATCGAAAGCTTTTTCACTTAAATAGATTTCCTCTCTGTCTGGAGGTTGGAAGAATATGCCTAGAACAGTTCCAGTACCCTGATTCAAAAGGAAAAAAAAAATCACCTTAAAACATAACCAAAGAAACACAAGAATACATAAGACCAAAAAAAAAAGAAAATAAAAAACTTACAGTATTTTCCTTAAGTAAATCACAAATCTCCGTGCTATCCATCAAGAATTGTCGCTTTCCGGGCTCAAAAGATTGTTTATAGACTATTTCTCTACCCATTTGTTGCAATAAAGGATGTATATCCAAGGTTCCATCGTCTATACAAATGAGAGATTTCTGAGCTAAAAGTTGAAGCCCATGGTTGACGTCTAAATCACTGTTTGCAAGAAACCTTTTAATGCGCTCAACTGAATAACTGTCAAAGTAATCCCAATCAAGAGCAAAGAAACATGCGATATACAGAAAAAGAGCTTTATCTTTGTCACCTAAGGCATCATAGCTAAATCTTAAAACTGATTCAATTTCTTTGTCAAGGCTAGACCTGAGCCTTGGTAGTGCGTCTATCCACTCGTCTATGGACATCCCACGTAGATACGATCCCAAAACTCTTAGACCTAGAGGAAGTTCACCGGCAAGTTTAGTAACTTCCCAAGCAAGCCCTTCAAAACCATCATATGGGGAATTTTGACCAAAAGCATATTGGCAGAAGATTTGAAGAGCCTCATCACTAGTTGGATATGTCATCTCATAAATATGATTGATCCCGTGTGCTTTGAAAACCTGTTTGTCTTCGGTTGTAATGATAATCGTACTTCCGCAACCAAATCATCCAGGCTGATTCGCCATCGCATTTAGCTGCCATAAGCTATCCACTTCATCAAGAACAACCAACACTTTTTTGTCTCTCAGCTTTTCTTGAGCCACTCCCAAGTGACGAACCTCAATATCCTTTTGGTTTACAATTTGAGAGAGTAGCTGCTTCTGAAAACACAACTTCAGTTGATAGTCATCATAACAAGGCCTCGCATAACTTGCTTTGATATTCTCCATAAACGCGCTGTATTGAAAATCACAAGAGAGTTGGTCATATAAAACTCTAGCAGTGGTCGTCTTACCAATCCCAGCAGGACCCAAAATCCCAAGCATCTTAACTTCATCTGATTGTAGGCTCAGCAACGAATTTATCTCTGTGATACGAGCTTCTATACCAACAAAATCATCAAAATCCCTTGATGGGGTAAAATCCAACACACCCATAACATCTGAGGCAATTTTGTTGATCAAATCAGCTTCATTGTCCAAAAAAAAAAAAGATGACTCCACTAAAAAAATGGTTAGTCAAGAAGAAAGATACAAAATATGCAAGTGATAGAACAAATTGCGAGAGTGGTAACCGGCTATACTTGCGACATCCTTAAGAGCTTGGCTCCATCTCTGCTTCACCTCTTTGGTTTTCCCAACACATGTTTTCTCAAAGGCCTTTCCGACATCTCCTGTCTGCTTCCTCACATCAGATGGATCAACATCATAGAAAATAGTCATCACTGTTTGTTGATTCTCTTCCTTGCACTTTATGATTTCCACTAGTTCATCCAAACACCAGCTCGAAGAAGCGTAGTTACTCGAAAGCAAGACAATCGCAACCCTTGATTCTCTGATCGCTAGTATTAGCTCAGGACCGATAGATTGGCCTCGCTTTATCTCATTATCAATAAAGGGTGTGATTCCCTTGCTTTTGAACTATTTCATAATATGACTGAGGAAGGTTCTGCGGACGTCTAATCCACAGAAGCTCGGGAAGACTTGGTGCGTCCAATTGCGATTCAAAGATGAAGAAGAGGAAGAAGCCATGAATAAGATCACGAAGAAACTGTAGAGGAAAGCACAACGCAATCAGCAAGCAAGAGGAAAAGAGACGACTACATAGATAGCATACGTTGACTCTTTAGCTAGAGAGAACGATCCATAGATGCTTCGTTTGTGCAAGAAATCTGTTAATACTAGTGGAACAGATATTAGAAGAAATGTATAAATAACAATCTAGAAACTCACCTAGAGTTTGAACTTAAGAAGAATAAGCCTAGAAGGTGAAAGAAAGTAGAATAAGCACCTTAAAAGCTAGGATTCAGGGGAAGATAAGAACAATGGCGTATGAAAAGAAAAGAGAGAGATAAGAGAATCATAGCCACCAAAGTTGGTTATTCAAATGGTCTAAATGTAAAGTCTTAAACGCGTGACGAAAGTAATAAATCAGAAATAATTATTATGTCTGCAATTATTAACTACACAAGTCTCCAGACCCCGCCAAATCGTAGAAGAAATAAAGATAATTTTTTAATTATTTAAAAGTAATTATAAATGAGTTCGTACATAAAAAGTGATGATACATAAAAACAAACTAGTAAATTTGCCCGTGAACAAGTTACAAACGTAAATTTTACAAACATTTGCATTTATTTTTGTGCATGATTTGTTTTATGTATTACATTTGTTTTTTTTGGAATATTTATTACATTTTATTACATATTAATGGTTGTATATGTTGTTGTATTTTTTTAATATGTTTTCTAATCATTATATTCATCTTTTGATTATTTGTTGTTAGTATAGAATTGATGTATTTTTACGTTTTTAAATAACGAAGATTATATTTTGTTCTAGGTTTTTATTCTAAAACAGAGTTGTTGTAATGTTTACCTACGTTAATAAGGTTATCTTTTTGTTTTACATAATTGGTTTGCATCTTTGCCCATCATTTAATTAAATACAATTTGTAATAATAAGAGACTCTTTAAAAATCATAATTTTTTTAAATAATTAATTGGTTTGTATCTTTACCCATCACATCATAATTCAAGTGCTGAACTTCTTGCTTTTCAACGCTATTGTTCAACCAAACCTTACACACAACCGGAATACCTTATTCCCTTGAGACACAAATAAAAATAAAAAGTTGAAGATTAGAAACACATAACCCAAGTAATTCTTCTTGATCTGAATCTTTGGAAGGCATCCAATCTACCATTCCCTTTAGTTTCCTCACTACATGAATCATCATCGTCAGTCTGACTTTTGTGTTTCCTTCCATGGTGTGAAGTTTATGTCGTTTCTCCAATGAGCCAATGGCTTCTTCTACATGTTTTTTTGTAAAATCATCATGGATCGATTGGCAGAATTATTTATCTTTGACTTCTTCTTCTTATTATTTTGGAAGACTTATCACTTGACGTCACATTTCCCAAACGCCATTGCATATCCCTCGATATAGAATGAGTGACCTTGCTTCCTAGAAAGATATAAAAGAAACAATATTCATATATATGTAATATCAGATTATAGAGAACAGAGTTAACAAAGAAAAGTTATAGGAGTGACTTGGGAAGTCCCGACATCAACAGGAAAGTCATCAGTCCCTTATTCTTGAAGCAGATTCTTTTCTTTTTTAGTTTCCCGGGGGGTCGCTCCCAAACTTATGCTTCTAAATCGTTTGAGAGGCAAAGAGAGAGAATCCATCAAGAAAATTGATCTATTACACTCCAAAATCATTAAAGACGATATTTTGAATAAATGATCCTCATGAAAACCATCATCAAACAACAACATTTTGAAGACAGGGTTCTCGCCATAACCATCAAAGCAAGCCACAACAGAACCTAACGTAGTTCATTCTCATGTTAAGGATTATGTTTTCACAAAGAAATTGTTCTATGTTAAATCTCGTAGTCTCGAATTCAAACCCATGGTCGAAACACCACGTGGATTGATGCATCCCTTCTTGTATATATGGTCCAATGTCTTAAAATATGACAAAACCTTGACATATATAATCTCGATCTAAAATGTTCTAGTTGATGTACATTCATAGGGTTATCCCCAATTTTAAGGTTAAACAGGTTTGCAGCTGACTTTGAGGCATGGCTTCTATGCGCATTCCATTTTTGGTCTGATAAGCCATCTTTTCAATATTTATGTATTCATGAAAATCATCACTCACAAAGCTTTTCCTTTTAGTTAAATAATAATAAAAAAAACATATATACAACATGATATGCAAGGCATATACAATATTTTTTTAGGTTATGCTTTCATATGTATCACCTCCTACAATAAACAATGTTGAATGAATGCTTTCTTGTATAATTGCAAAAGTATACTAAAGGCTTTCGTTATGGTGTGTTTATGTATAGTCATAAACCATAAATCTTCACGGAGATGTTTAAAGCTTAATCCTAGCTATTTTCAGTGACATCCTTTACAGTCCTTCGAGATCAGTTTAAAAATAGACAAAACTTATAGAGATCTTTGCAGCCATCATCTTTACAAACTTCAACTCTTAGTCATCGTCTCCCTCCTATATGATAAAACAAAACAACATTTAACACAATCAAAATATTCGATCAATTATAAACATTTTAAAATACTCAAACAGCAATCCAACATACAAGCAACCACATCAAATCTATTTTACTCGTAGATTCCATCGCAAGATAAATGAGGAGATGAATAAAACAAGAGAATATGTATAATACTCCAGATCTAGAACAGTAAGCGGAGTTATAAATGAAAACATATTGAATGATACACAAATCTAAGAACAAATAACAAAAAAAAAAATTTTTAAGGACACAGACCTAAAGCTAGGAAAGACCGAAACAAAACAAAAATTATAAGAGGGGTATATATAGATTAATGTCTATGTCTACGCTAGGGTTTTGATATGTTTCACAATTTTTTTGAAGTTAGTTATGGAAAATAGCTCATCGTTGCCACACAATCTAACTTACATGTTTGGTCGATTGTGAGTTTTATACCCTAAAGAATATGATAACGTTTTAATAAGTAGTTAGATAGTCTATTAAAAAATTTATCAGTTTATTATATTATAAACCATCTAAAATCAAAATTAATGGAACTGGTTTTCGATTTTCTCTGAAGCGGTATGTTTTAAATGAAATGTACACATCATGAAATAAGAACCACTCAAAAATTACACTTACCTGAAAAATAGGGCAATAAGGACTTTTTGCAGACGAAACTCATTGTGAAACTGACACGTAAGAAAAACTCTATGAAACTCGCGAAAGCGAATGTATGGGATTATTACAAATAGAGAATGTGAAAGGTGGCGCGGAAGCAATGTCTCTTCTTTTTTTTGGTCGAACTGTGATTCTCATTAATCAATCAACATAATACAATAGAGCTTTGAGAGCGTCTTTAGCAAAAGTGTCAGCCTCGACATTATTTGAACGAGGGACAAAGTGAAAAGAAATCAATGAGAAAGATAACACCAGAAAGCGTATATCGTTAACAAAGGCATGAATCTCTGTATGTGTTTCCTGCAAACTGATGAGATTCATTACGATTTGAGAGTCCGATAGGACCTGCAAAATATTGTAACATGCATCAATAGTGGATATCAAAGCTTCTCTGAGAGCCCATGCTTCTGCAGCAAGTGCAGATGATACAAACTGGCACAATGCAGAGTGTTGCAGCAGTCTCTCTTTCTCCGAGGATAGAAAATTAACCCCATACTTCAGCTTCCTGAGTCTGCGTGCCAAGCTGCGTCAACATTGCAGATGACGCTGAGTGTGTGAGGATGAGGAGACGTTGTCAACTGTGGTGCATGTGGTCTTTGAAGGGAGCTTTGCGCTTCTTGCCATGCCGTTGCTTCTCCTAGATCTTTGGTGATCAAGTCCCTTGCTGAATAAACCGTGTTCAAAAAAATTCAATAGTTTTTAGCTGCCCATAAGTTCCAGCAGATCCAAGCGGGGAAGGAGGTAGTTGAGATTCCGGTCGGAGAGAGGCTTAAAAGCGACGAGATGAAAGCGAGGAAGTCCAGGCACAAGACCGTATTTAAGTGAGGGCGAGCCTTGAGCGGAGCTAGGTCCCAAACTTCTCTGGTGAACTGGCAGTCTCTCAGTACGTGGGTGATTGTTTCAGGATTCCCGCAGATCTGACATCCAAAGTCAACTTGTATACCGCGGCAAACTAACTCAACTCCGATGGGGAGGGCTTCCACTGCCGCTCTCCAAAGAAATTGCTTAATTTTTGGCATTGTTCGGAGATTTCAAATGTTTCTTTGCAAATTAAATCTTCGCTGTCGTTCTGGGATGGATTCAGAGATTAATATGCCATAACCGGAATGAACAGAATACTTTCCGTGTTTTTGAGGGAGCCATACCAATCTCTCCGATGAGCATGAGGAGCTCACCAGTAACAAGTGGATATGGTGCACATATTCCGGGAGTACCTCCTGAGTCCTTTGCTAGTTCCAAGTCTGTTGATCGTGATCGAGGAGGTCAGCCACTCGAAGGTCGACGAGAGAAGAGGCGGGGGCCAAATGGTCTGAGCGGGGCCTCCGTGCTGAGCCAAAGATCGTTCCAAACGCTGATGGATTTACTGTTACCGATTAACCAACCAATGCCTTTTCGAAGAATTTCTCTCCCTGTCATGATGCTCCTCCAGCCGTGAGACGGATTCGTGGGCAGGGTACATTCCATGAAGGGACTAGTGGAGCAATATTTGCCCAGTAACACTCGAGAAGCCAACACCTAAGGGTGTGAAATGAGGCGCTGATAACACCGTATTTTGACCACTTTTATGGATCATAATGATGTTTTATGCAGGTGTTTTAACTCTGTTTCAATGGTTTTTAAAGTGTTTTCAATGTTTTAGAATTTCAAAAGACTTCTCAGGAAACTTGGACAAAAGACATGCAATTTGGAACAAATGAGCAAATTTGGATAAATACAGACCGTCAGAAGTATGGCAAGCGATGAAGACTTTCTCACCGTCGGATCACCCCCAAAAGTTGAGACAACATAGAGGATACAACCATCTTTCCAAAGCACTTGGTTTGGAGACAA